TATATATACTTACATATACACATTTAATACCGCAAAAAGTTCAGCTGCCTAGTAAATGACTTGTGATCAATATACTGTATACCTTATATGCATTCTTTCTGCGCTGTGTGTCTTTGCAGAATTGATCCTCATATTACCAAAGGAGCTGACCTTTTTTTTTTTTTTACAAAAAAAGAGCTTCACGCTTTAAATGTTTATTTTGTGTTTTGATTCTACAGCCACTTATTTTTTTTGTGCATTATTTTTATATCTTCCTAAATCCAAAACAACACAGCTTTCATAGTGTACAAAATTAAAGAATTGTTGCAACAAAACATTGCATTATGCACCGCAGACTTTAGATGCAGAGACTTACCTCTGGCCCTTGGTCTCCCTTTAACCCTGGTGGCCCGATGCTTCCCTGGTTCACCACAAAGCATCAATGAGAGGCATAAGAGAGGCAGGAAGAGCGTGGGAGGAAAACATTTTATGCTTTGTCTTTTGTTACACACATAAGAAATTCATACACAGTATGACTTCTTTCTCATTTAGAAATATAATAAAACATTTGTATACTCCAAAAGGTGTTTAGGTATATGAAAACAAAAAGGGTTTCTTTAGCTGGAAACGAATCACATACTTTGTGTGACATTATCATTTTCTCTTCCTCTGAGTTCAACTTAGAAAGCAGCTTATACTGGGAGCCACTGTTTAGATGTGGCTTTACAAAATGTCAGAAAAAGAATTTTCTCCACAAAAAAAGGAAAGAAATAAGGCTTTTAACCGACAATCTTTAATCTGATCTGCAGTGACCTGCTGGTACACTTGCTCAGACCCTGTGGAAGTCTATAAAGAATGGATTCTTTCTCATAATAAAAGACTTTGGAGCATATTTTTGTCAGCAGTGGACACCAACGCTTGAATTTTAGTGAAAGCTCAGAGTCTTCAATAAGTCACCTTTAAGCCTTGGGGTCCTTGAATTCCATTCTCGCCCTGCAGACAGAACAAGAAACAGGACAGAACTTGATGTCATAAAATATATTTAATAGTTTCATTATTAATTTGTTCTCTTGTTTCAAAGCAATCATACACGGATGCCTTCAGTACTGTTGGAAATCTTGTAATTTTTGAACATAACCCAGTATTTAAACTGTCTCTGTTTTGTAATAGCTTACACTTTAGAACAATATACAAACTGTTCTGTGATACTAAAGTCAGAGTCTGTTAGATGCTACCACAACCTGATTTATTTATTCTTTAACTGTGTGTAGTTCTAGTACTTTATTCTGAAATTATAATATTCAGGGTTTCAAATTTTGTTACTTTCTTAGTTTTATTTTAAAATGCTTGTTACTTTATTTCCATGAAGGATCCATATAAAGTCAATAAATCCATCCAAAACATTTGGACTTTTGGCAGATTTGTCCAAAATTTCACAATAAAGGCCTCTTATTTAAATGTTTTTAATTTGATTCAAGTTATTATTATTTTTTTAAATAGTAGTCAGCATGTGCGTATAATTTGTGTCCTCTCAGATTACCGTGCTTCACTTTATTTTTGGACATTTGCCAGGTTGCCCATGCATTTTGTGGACAATGTCTGACTCTTCTCGCTGTTTTGCTTTTCACCTGCTCCGTGCCATTTCTGTTTTGGCCCCTGGCTGTCTGAAATTTTTTTTGACTTAGTTTCTGCCCTTTTACGTGACACCTGTTTGTCTTGTTTGCCTCGCTGRATGCCTCTGTACGTGCTCTGTCCACCGAGTGAAACAAAACCTCTTTATATCTAACTCTGTCTATATTTAGGTGGATTTGGATCCAATTTTATTTTTACTAAAATTCGAGTTGAATAATCAAAGATCATCCAATATATTTTGTTTCTCTCGCTCGCATCAGCATTCAAAACAAAAGTTGGTTTGCATTTTGTCTTTTGTTGTTTTTTCCCCGTCTCTGTACATTTTCCTCCTCACGGACAGCATTTTATGTGCAGTCATGCAGAATGCTTTCCATTTACAAATGTTCCAYTGTTCAAAAAGACTTAAATCTCTGTGCAACTGGTTTGTCTATTATTTTCTAAATGTCTTGTGTAGTGGCTTTTTTAAAATCCAGGAGATGTCTGCTTTCATTATTATCTTCTTAGACAAGATCACCTCCTTACCCTTTAAACAAATGGACATCTCTGCCTCAGTGAAGCAGCTTTTGACTCTTAAGTCTCAATCAACTGTGAGCRAAATGTGAGCTCATTTGTGCTTGAACTAACATTAAAGACCAATCGATCAGACATGGCTTTTTCAATGCAGACATTAAAAAAATGCTCAAGTTAAACCTCAGATCTGGCAGTTTTATTTAGTTTCATTTTTTCTCTCCCACACAGACGCAGAACGCCTGACAATAAAAGAAGAACCAGTGCCTATATATTTATGATCTGGACCACATGAAGATGTCTTTTGATGTCTGGTAAATGACTACATCAGAGGTTTTTATGAGTTGGACTGAACTACATGAATTCTTTAGTTTGGGACTTCAGAAAATACAACYGGTAAAATAAGTATTGAACAAGTCAACATTTTTCTCAGTAAATATATTACTAGAGGAGCTAATGACATGAAWTTTTCACCAGATGTCGGTAACAACCCAAGTGATCCATACATACAAAGAAATCAAACCATAAATGTCCAGAAATGAAGTTACTTGTAATAATGTAGAATGGCACAGGGAAAAAGTATTGAACACATGAAGAAAGGGAGGTGTAAAAAGTCATGGAAAGCCAAGACACCAGCTGAACTCTCTCAGTAATTAGAAAGCAAGCCTGCCCCTTGTCAGTGCAAGTTAATATCAGCTGGTTCAGTCCCAAATGATGGCCAGGTATCACACAAGAAACATCTGATGATGGGTAAAAGTAAAGAGCTCTCTCAAGACCTTCACGACCTTATTGTTGCAAAGCATAATGATGGCATCGGTTACAGAAGAATGTCTAAACTTCTGAAGGTTCCAGTGAGCWCTGTTGGGGCCATAATTCAGAAGTGGAAAGAACATTATTTCACCATAAACCGACCACGACCAGGTGCTCCTCACAAGATTTCTGACAGAGGAGTGAAAAGAATTATCAGAAGAGTTGTCCAAGAGCCAAGGACCACTTGTGGAGAGCTTCAGACAAACCTGGAATTAGCAGGTACGATTGTTTCAAAGAAAACAATAAGTAATGCACTGAACCACCATGGCCTGTATGCACGCTCACCACGCAAGACTCCACTGCTGAAGAAACAGCATGTTGAAGCTCCTTTAAAGTTTGCTGCACAACATTTAGACAAGCCTGTGTAATACTGGGAGAATATAGTCTGGTCAGATGAGACCAACATTGAACTGTTTGGATGCCAGAATACACATCATGTTTGGAGGTCAAATGGCACTGCACATCAGCCCAAAAACACCATACCAACAGTGAAGTTTGGAGGTGGGAACATCATGGTGTGGGGCTGTTTTTCAGCATTTGGTACTGGCAAACTTCAAATAATTGAAGGAAGGCTGAATTGAAAAATGTACAGACATTCTTGATAAAATCTGCTTCCATCTACCAGGATGATGAAGATGAAACGTGGCTGGACATTTCAGCAAGACAATGAGCCCAAACACAAAGCCAAGGAAACTCTGTTGGTTTCAGGGAAAGAAACTAAAGCTGCTGGAATGGRCCAGCCAATCACCTGACCTGAATCCAACAGAAAATCTATGGAAAGAACTAAAGATCAGAGTTCATAGAAGAGGTCCACGAAACCTTCAAGATTTGAAGACCGTTTGTGTGGAAGAATGGGCCAAAATCACACCTGAGCAATGCATGCCACTAGTTTCTCCWTACAGGAGGTGTCTTGAAGCTGTCGTTGACAACAAAGGCTTTTGTACAAAGTATTAGATAAATTTCAGTAAGTGTGTTCAATGCTTTTTCCTTGTGCCATTCCACATTATTACAAATAAACTTCATTTCTGGACATTTATGGTTTGATTTCTTTGTATGTGTGGATCACTTGGGTTCTTACCGACATCTGGTGAAAATTTCATGTCATTAGCACCTCTAGTAATATATTTACTGAGAAAAATGTTGATGTGTTCAATACTTATTTTACCCGCTGTAACCATCTGCAGGGCAGTCTTTTTCTTACATTTGTGCCTCTCTAAAAAGCACACAAATGAAATAAAACTCTCCCTCTAAACAGCAGGTAATAAATTGTTTTTTTCTAAATCAAATGTCAGTAGCGCCTTTGTCGATGTTGCGTAAGAAAATTGGTGGAAGTTTCTGAAAGTCTAAAAAAAAAGAGTCAATTAACATTCTCTCCAGTGACAACAGGAAATAGTTACCGTCTCTCCTTTTTCACCTTTCTGGGCTGTTTCCTTCATTTCATCCTTGAAAACAACAAAAAAAGAAGAGACCACATCAAACCCTGACGGTTCTGCGTGCAGCATGAAAACAGGGAACGACTGAAAACACAACACCATCTGCAAACACGGGGCATAGTGTYGTACAAACAGCTGCTTACAGTTCCTGAGAGCTGTCTTAATCCGTGAGCTGTCATCACCTAGAAGTAATGAAAGAGACACAGTGTTCTGTGAATGCTCCACACTGKTCTGCCAATTGCAGCCAATAAACATTTAAACGGTGTAAATATTCTTCGGGTTTTGCAGCTGCACACTCCGAGCTCGTGTTTGATCAGGAAAGATGAAATGTTTACGTGGACAAAGAGTTCTTATTTCTCCTTCATGTCGTCATTAAATTTGGCGTGACAGTGCAGTTGGACAGAAGAAAAGAGAGACAGACCACAGTAAGGCATCATTTACAAGAACGACTTTGTAGAGGGCTTAAAGTGCCTGTGACGCATTTTGTACAAAAACAAAAAGTGGAAGAAAACATCTGAATATTTAAGAAATGTGGCGTATTACACGATTTCCCACATTTTATCACTTAACTGGCGTATCTTTGGGTGAACTTAGTGTAGCCAAAGTGAAACAGGAAGTGACATCAACGGGGAATTATTTGAAAAGTAGAACTCCCAGCTGTTTGTTTATTGAGATTTGAATTCTGACTCTAGTCTCTCTCTCAAAATCTAAAAAAAAAAAAAAAAAAACAGATTCTTTTCTACTATCTGTGTAGTGTAGATGTAGCTTTGCTCTGCTTACATGCAGGATTTCCCCTTTGTCATCACTTCCTCTTATTTCACATGCAAATATTTCAACAACTACCGTATATATTCGTGTATAATACAGTCTCATGTATAATACAACCCTCCCTTTTTGAGCTTAAAAAGCATAAAAAATTGAATCCTCAAACTACCTCCAATTTCATACAGACTTCAAGATTTTTCAGCATTTGCAGTCTTTATACATTTCAGTAAAATGATAATTGGACTGTTCATTTTATTTTAACAACACATGTACTAAAAGGTATTTTGACAACAAATATATATCAGCTGCAGCAGCATCATATGAATTCTGGCATTTTACACATAGTCCACTAGGACGCGCCAACACAAAAGTCAGAGACTTCACATGAGATTTGGACCATCTTGTGGGGGAAATGCAGATTACTTCCTACTCGCGAGCGCCCCCTCTGGTGG